AGTCAGCATGCTCGAGGAGCTAGAGTGTGCGTTTCAGCAACCCGGGAAACCAGGTTGTGGAGTCCGCGTCAACTGTCATGGCACTGGAGACTACAGAGATGCTAAAGATTGACAAGGCTCGCGCGCGGATTGCTGTTAATGTTGAGCAGGATGCTCTGAACAGCTTTCAGACGACCAAAGCGTAGTAGGAGTGGAGCAGCTTTAGTAGAACTAGTGGCATGAAGTAGTATGCATAGTCCTGGTGCTAGCTTTAACGCATGCGGCAGCGCACTAGCACGCATCAGTACCTAGCCATATGCAGTAGCAGTCGTCGTTGTCGTTGTGAGTGGTACACACGAGAGCGTAGTAGAACAGGCTATGTGGCAAGAATGGCAATCTCAGTACTACTTCATTCAAATGATCCAAGAGGGTTATGATTTGAAATTGTCATGGTCCTGCGCCTGCTCCTGGTATTCTACTTAAAAGTGCTGGGTGATCATGGGTCCCCCTTCTACTCCCCTCGGGTTCCTCCTTAAGTAGCCTTAGTCAGGTTCCATTGTCCCCAAGTAACCTTACTTAAGGGCGAGTCTTAGACAGGGTCGAAGGTGCGGCTCTTCGAAACCCTCCCAAACCTTAGAACCCTAAAAACCCTAGACCCGAAACCTCTAAACCCTGAAACCCTGAACCCTGATTAAACAGTAAACTGAGCCCCAAACACTCTTATGGACTGGATAAGGTGCGATTCTTCGAGATCCTCCGAGATTACAAGGATCCGCTGGTGATGACAAAGGCGAAGTCACGAAGTGCGAAGCTCGCGTCCCGCACCAGCGTGCCTAAGGATGCATTAGGGTCCATCCCCAATTTCGGCTTTAGGAATATTTCCCCGCATCATGGAGGAAAGAATGGAGAAGAAATGGAAAGTCAAATGGAAACTGGTTTATGGGGATTAGGGCCTTGCAGGTTAGAGTCCATCCCCAGTTTGGGGCTTTGCGGTTGGGGTTCAGGGCAGCGGACCGCATGGGAGGGAGCAAGTGGTATGGGGTGGTGTATAACAACAGAACAACCTTGCTGTTGAGAATGCTCACATACACAGGCCCTTAGGACTATGCTGGTTCCCAGCATATTCAACTCCCCAGCCCCACAACAAAGGATACTAATGCAAAGCTGCTGTGTAGTTTTTGTCCAGGCACTGCGGCAAGCAGGCATTTCATGATGGAGGGTAGTAAAGCTTATATTCCAGAGTCTTTTAGTGCCTGTGCTTTGTATTCTTCCCGACTGAAGTTGGGCCACGTTACTTGGAGGCTGCTTACGTGTAACAGTCCTGCTTGCGAAGACGCCTCACTTTCAGGCCTGTTGGGCCCAAGGCTTGCAGCTACAAAGAACACAGCAAACAAAGTTCCAGTGAGAAAGATCAGTAGTTTTATTCATGCTCCAGAATAGAGTCATAAGAATCGTCACAAGAGTAATGCCAGCATCTGTAGCAATAGTTAAATGAGAGAGCGGTTTGATTAGCTGCACAGGCAGTGCAGGTATTAAGTTGGACTCCTGGAGTTTCCTTGGGCGGGGTCTTCAACATAACTTGGGTCATTCTCCATCCCAGTGTCCCTTAAGGGAGTTGTATGAAGGGGTGAGTATAACTCCTATTATCCTTTGTGGCAACTGTTACTGCAAGGGGGAATGACACAATACATAGCACAGAGAAAGCACCAAAGCAGTGATTGGGGTTGATCCAGATGGCCCTCTGTTTGTTGCCGCAAAGCCTACCTAGCGGGCAGCAGTTTGAAACAGGACACGTCGCCAACGATGCCATACATGAGGATCGCTGCATTTATGTGTGGTCATTGTGGCGCACCCTCCACCAAGAAATACTTGCAACGATGGGCCGTAATTACACGACTTGCAGACCCCTGACCGCGCAACGCAAGTGTGCCCCAGATGAAGAACCTGAAGCCTCAACCTCAAACAATGTGAAGTTGGAGTAGGGGGCGCCTCTCCGTGTTTCCTGCTAGAGGCATGTGTCTCCCCGTCACTTAGCATCCTTCTACTCGGGAACTAATCAGCATGCTCTCCGTCTTGTGTTCCTTCAAGCAACGGGACCCTGTTTTTCAAGGAAGCCAACCTCGCAGTTTCCATAAATCAGGACCCCCCCCCCCTATGTTTCATGGAAGAACCAGGTGTGCATGACGCTCAGCGAGCAAGACCGCTCCGAGCGTTCAGACCTTCGTGTGGGAACTGCCGCAGCCGTGCTCTCTTCAGCCTGAAGCCGCTGGTTTAGCCTGAGCTGCTGGCTTACAGTATGTAGGCTGTTTGGAAAGTTGGGGGCCGTTTTTGTGGGTCCTAAAATGGGGACTATACTATAGTATCTATTTCGGAATGTATATCAGGCCCTTCCATTCATTGAAACCCCCATTTAGGTGATGGGCGCCATGGGCATAGTGCAAAAAATCCGTGATAGACATGTCGTGGGAGTAGGCATATTAATGGAAGCACAATGCGAAGTTAGCGAGTAACTGCCAGCAAGAAGATCTTGAGCTTAGTAGACTTTGGCCCTCAAGCTTTGAATGCTGTAGATCTCCACAAAGTTGAACCAAATGAGGCCAAAAGGTCATTGGTAATCGCTTCGGGCATGTGAAGCCCTGTAAGCGGCGCTCCTGGAAGCCAGAAGCCTCTTCGGCTTCCGTCACGGAAAAGAGTTCGCAAAGCTCAAATAGAGGAGCGCATGACAGCTTCAGACATGTCACGAGCAGCCTGTGTTTCTACGGTATTCCGGAAGCCACCGCTGGCAATTTTCGGCCTGTCAGGCCATGACACTCACGGGTCTCCACCCCCGCTATACCGCGGCCTAAGTGCCGCCCTTGGTGGTGGGGGTACCCATGGACTCACCTTCTCCACCTTTCTTGGCCGGAACGCACGCCAGCTAGCTGCTCGGAGAGCGCGCCAGAATCTTCCGGACAAGGAGTGTTCACGGGTAGTTGTCCAAAGCCGGATTACGAAGCTCACTCTCAGCAGAGAGGCATACGGACATCTTGCTTTTTGAGGCATGCAACCCCCAGCCTAGAAAGTACCATATGCCCTGAACTGCTTAGGCATCATAGCCAGATGAACCCAAAGATGTGGGCAACTGTTCTCGTGTGCGAGGGACCCGCCCAAGGCTGGGTATTTGAGCAACTGTCTGCCTGCCATGGGGGTCGGATTCCAGCTCCCTGCTGCAAGAGCTGGGGGCTACCAGCCAGAAGCTATTCTTGGCTGGTCCTTAGAGTAGTATATACGTACTCAACCCCCCACTCCTTCCATATTAAATATTCCCATTATGTGGTATATTCTAGCATATTGGGGAGGGGGAGGGGAGGGGAGTATAGAAAGACTGGAGCTGCTGGTCTTGCGGCTGATTGCTCAGACTCCCATGTTAGGATAAGAAGAAACATAAAAGCAACAGGGTTGCTAGAAGACAATTGAGGTTGTTACAACAGGCTTCGTTATCCTTAGCCTATTTGGCATTGCAATGGCTAGTGTCAGCGGATGTCCCTTTGTTATTCCTAGATTTCATTTTCCCTGAAGGGTTCGAATAGCCTCCAGGGCAGACTGGCAAACTGGCCAGCTCCAAACGGACTGGCCTGTACCATACCAGGAAGCATGCTAGCACAATAGTTGTTGCAGCGGTCGGACGGGTAGCGGTTGCCCCTGGAGAGTCTTCAAGAGTTGCGCTGCCTTACCGAACAGGATCGATGGTAGGTTGTCAACATCATGGTCCCACTTCAGTTCATGAACGAAATTACGCACACCAATTTTTAGGTTGCCCCGATAAGGGCCCCTGATTCTTGGACACGTCCATATGCAGACAGCATTACTCCAGTTCTTGAAGACTCCTGAGTGTTCCTGCTCTTCGGTTGCCACGCCTGACTTGATCAACCCAGCAGTGGGTTCAGGGTTAATGTGAGTGAGCCATTTCAAGCCCGTCAGGAATCTTCAATATGAGGACACCCAGAAGGGTTTGCACATACTTGCAGAAGTTATAAAATCCTAAGCCTTAAACCCTAGAAATTCAAGGGCGCTTCAGACCACTCCCTAGACAGGCAGGCTAGCCGCCAATAAGTTGTCAGCACTGGGTCATGAGTGAATACAAAGAGGAGACTGTACCACTACTATGTCTTGCATAAATGTTGCGAATTCCACCCCCAAACTCTGCAGTTTTCAAGGCTCCTATGTCAAGTTATTTTGGTTTTCTGCGTAGGGTTTGCATCGTCTTGGACGAATACGTAAGGACTGAGGCAACAAAGCGGTTTCCAGACACCGCCATTCCGTATGACCTACATCGGAAGTCCTCAGAAGCATTGGCCAAGCTAAGTACCGTTTGCAATGGTCCTAATTTGGAAGCTATGTACAGTACATAAACGAGCTAAGAACTGCTCCAAGATTGACCCAGAGCAGAACCAACGGACGGACTGGACTGGGAAGGGCCTGTGGCATCCTCTTGCACCACATGTTGCGGAGAACCTCATCTAGCCAGGTCTTGGAAAGGATGCAACACCAGCGGAGATTGCTTCTTGTTCACATACCACTTGTGCAAGAGGGTTCAGCCACAAGCATGGCTCACATGTCGTATGCTTCCCCTTCTCCAGCCAACAAAGGAAAAGTACGGACGCGAGGAAAACGGCTTGGCTGAAAAGGGCGGGGTTCGGCTTCAGTAGTGGAATCTCTTCGTGCAGGGCACCCGTGGGCAAACAAGGCGACAGTGATCATGTGGGCCACTACGCACTGCCTTGGCCTGCTTGATAACGCCCTTATGCCTTTGAGGCTGAGCAGGTTCTCCAACCCTGACGCAATGCTTTTGTTCATCGTAACTCAGACGCCAGCAAGCTTCCTAGCTGTTCGCGTAGGTGGCACAAAGAGAATTTGCGCCAAGCTCATATGGGAGTCCTCAAGCTCCCTTGAAAATCTTCTAGAAAGACTCAACCTGAAGATTCCCCAAATCTGACCTTCCTGAACCCTTAGAAGACCACAAAAGGTCTGCACCAGCCTAGGATCTTTTCTGGCTGAAGGAAGCTCCCGGCAAGACACTGGTGGTGGGAGCGGCCTACATTGCTCTGGCCCGGGGGGGAGGGGGGGATGGCTAAGACTCAGAGTGCTCAGTTGTTCTCACGTTTTAGTAAGCCAACCTGCAAAACAAGCACTTGACAAGCTTTACGGGGGATGCATGGGTTACTAAGTGCCGGTAGTTCGAATACTACAAGTTCGGATTTCTGCTTATCGGTTCTTTACGTATGCTTTGCAGGCAGCTTTTCAGCGGACGACGTAGGGATCCTGTCAGGTTTGTTTGCGAGTACACCGGCTTGATTGACTTCTCTAGTATGCTGGGGCGAGGGTTTTTTTAGCTTGAGGACCCCTGGGTTTCAAAGCGCAGGCTCTCACTATTTTCTCAAGCACATGGAAGCGCAGCGCTCGCTTTTCGGCATCAAATTCACTAGTCAGACCCTAAGGCAGCATCCCCTAAATCAATAGTACCGGGCGCTGAGCAGACGATGCCTTCGGAAACTAGTTTGGGTATGCCAGCACATTATTTGGGGTGACTTGATCAGTAGAAAAGCAGCCCCCCCATTCAGAGGAGTGTGCCGGCTTCCTCAATGGTCTCGGCTATGTGCCTCGGCAGCGTGTGGATCCAGGTTGTTAAGCTTGGGTTTTCCCCGCAACGGCAGCTACTTGTTGAAAAAGTTGCAGTTGTGATCTCCAGGCCCAGTAGCTTTTGGACTCAACTGAATCATCCTGTGCAAGCAGCTTGCCATGTCCAGGACACCACGGTCATGGTGCGGTCGATGCTCCTCAGAGGCTTCGATCGAGAGTGCGTGGCTGGACTTAGTGAAGAAGGCTTGCTGCCGCAGGACTCTGGCTAATTTTCCAATTGAGTAGTATTTTATTTGGGGATACTATGGTACCCAATATAGAGTAAGATTATATCCTCCTTTTGGGGTATAGTATTTTATATAAGGAATATAATCTACTAGGTTTAACCACCAAAACAAACGCTACTCAATTGCAAAGGCTAGTAGGACTTCTCGTTTGACTCCTCGTAAAAAAGTCACATTATCCTTCGCAAGACATTATTCACAGGTAGTTTTTAAAGAGGCGTTGAAGGAAAAATCGAGTGAGCAGCGTGTCTTAAGGCATGTACGGACCATGATGGAAGTGATGCTGCAAGAGTGCTCGCGCACCCTCTTGCCTGCAGGGCGTGGTTGTGGCATAGTTTCGCGTAGGCACGTTTCGGCTTGCCTAGTCTGTCCTGCAGGGAAAAACAGCCATCCGCGAAACTAGTTTACGTGGGCATGCTGTGTTAGCACAAGACGTTCAACTTAGAAAAATGCTCAGGTGGATAAGATCGACCTCTACATGCAGAAGGCATGGACATTCCTTTGCCTTGGAAGAAATGAGCTTAAACTAACATGCCCCCCTGTCCTTCTGAAGGTTGTTGGGGGGATATATTGTTTTGCTTGTTTGGGGTGTTGGCTCTCGGAAGGAGGGGTTCACTCCACCCTCTCCTTCCCTAGTCGCATCGCATGTCTGAGATCATCTCACAGGACAACGCGGATCTTGCCAGGTCCCTGCGTAGAGTTAGGATTTCTAGGGATTCACAAGCCTCGCACAATCCTATGGCAAGACCCAAGGCATGCCCAGGAGCAGTCATTGCAACAACATTTCAACCCAAAAATACTAGCTACATTCAAAGTATGTCAACATCTTGTTCCAGGACTTAGGCCCCCAAGCTAAGCATGGGCCAGTATGGGACATCCGTGTGCACCCCTGCCAGGTCGGAGTGAAATTCATCCGTGGCACTGTGCCGGACTGTTGGGCTCCGCATATTGTGAGGTTGTGAGATGTGGGGTTTTTGGGTTCCTCTACTCGGGATCATATTTTAGGGGGATATGGTAGAAGCTGTAGGGAGACAGGGATGTGTCTTTTCTGCTCTCCCCATGCCCAACACTTGCCCAGATAGTGCTGATGTAGACTCATGTTTAATTAACCGTCTCCTTTTAAGCCCAAGGGCAAGGGGTTTATGAATCAGGGGTCTAAACCCTGAACTGTAAACCCTAAAGCCCTAAAACCCTGAAGCCTACAGTACCCATCATTTGCTGCATGGCACAGAGGACAGATTCGAGGCTGGCACTACGAAGAAGGTTGCGTGGCCAAAGTTGGGCCTTCTCGAGTTTGCCGGGCTGCTGTTAAGAAACTTAAGTTAGGTTACCATAAGATGGGTATATAGTAAGTCACAGGGTTTCCTTATTATGGTAACTTTAAGAAACCTAAATAAGGTTAGTATAAGATGGGTCTATGGTAAGTAACAGGGTTTTCTCACCATAGTAACTTAGCTTAAGTTCCTTAAGAGCAACCCAGTTTGAGGTTTGGGGGGTTCTGGATGTAATGCTGACTTCAAGTTCGCAGTAGGTGTGGTGAAGCCTATGCTCAAGTTGGGAAGCTGTTGCACATGACATCCAACGGCGTGCGGTGTGTCAGTGTGTCGCGGGTCTAGACCACATACTGCGCTCCCAACACTCCCCTCCTGCTCCAGCCATACCAAGGTCAAGGCAGTGTGGAAGCAGGGCGGCCAGGACCATCAAGGGGGATTTTGGGGGCGCAGCCTGAACTGCTTCAAGGTGTATTTTTTGTCGTCAGGGTGCTACTTGAATCCTGAGGCAGAAGGACATGAGGAAGCTTCAAACCAAACCTTCTCAAATTCTTTTTCACTGAGGAACTAGGGGGTGCCTATGTTGTCCAATGCCAAAGGCAGATGCACAGGTTTGCAGAGAATGTCGCAGCCAACCTAATAATGGCAAGTTATGTCCCATACCATGCGCATGTGCTTGTTGGTTTCCCTCATGTTCTCACTTTCAGGTCCCCATAGCAATGGTTTTTGCTGTGATCTGGCAGCAAGACAGCTGCGGCGGATAAGAAGCTCAACCTCCCGCTTGAAGGGGGGTGTTTCCAGCGCTCCCTTCTAGTATCCTGATTATTCAGATTTCGAAGACGAGAAAAACCTCTAGACACCCAAATCGTGAAATTACATCGATCTCAACCACTATCGGTATGGTACGCGGTGCGGGACGTCTTCTCTGAACACCGTGCTTTCTTTCAAGCATGCATGTTCTGAAGAAAATGGATTTGTCCAGGAGTTCAGCGATGAGTTCGACACCGTGTCTCGGCTTGTAATGTCACGCTTCAGTGTTGACAGGCAAAGCCAAGGTGCTGCCTTCATATGAGCTACGGACTAAATTCAGCTTGGGGGGGGACCTATAGGAGAACATATAGGGTTTTGGGGGGGACCTATGAACGGATATACCACAATTTGAGGCCAGTGCTCAAATATGGAATGGAGGAGGCCTCCTGTTACAGAAACGGCCGAGCGACAGACAAGCCAGAAGCCTGGGCATCATGGATCTCAAGAGTTTCTGAACATCGCGCGCACAATCTACCAGTCGTCCTGAAACCCAGAATCGCAAGGATTCTGCAGGTGCTGGCCCTGCCCCTGAATCAGAAAAATAGCTCTGAAGTTTCACTCACATTTGCTGAACCCAGGCTGAGACAGACTTCCCCCCCTCGGAACCCCAAATCTGAAACTGCCAACCTTGGTAATTTGTTTCGCTTCTGTATGCCTTTATGAAGTCCAGGCATCGCTTGAACTCGACATTTCTTAGAAATACAATTGTTGATCCCTACATATGGTGCCTATGACCGCCATCAGGAAATCTTCTGGAGCTAGAGGGACGGAATCGAAGCGCAACTGATCATCTGGATACGTGGTTCATTCCTTCATCCTCTGCAGAGAACCCTAAGCCTCCTGCCCCTACAACCCAAAACCCAAAGAGCCATAAGCACATGCACCAAAGGTTCTCCTGGCCATTGGCCGAACCGGTGAGGCTGCCAAGCTGGGCTTGGAAAATGCTGGCGCATTTCGGTGGCATGTGAGTCCTTTTATGGATTGTACGAGGATGGTATTTTTGAGGTTGCACGCAGATGTTTTGGGGGCCGTATGGCGTTGATTGCCAGTTGAATCCAGTATGTTTGAATTTGAACGTTATGGTAGGGCTTCTTACTGAAAATCCTACCGGTAAAAGGCTGTAGGGTTTTGGACTAACGCGCCAGGTCCCTGTTTAGGGTTTATTGGCACCCGATTGACGTACCCTGAAAAGATAAGAGGATAAGCACTTAGGCGCTGAAGCAAGATGCCCTGTAGACCGAGTTGCTGCGTCAGAGGCCGTGCATCGTGGAGATGCCAAAAGCACCAATACTCTGTCAGCGGTAATCATCCAGGAGTGTGAGCCGGGTTTTTTGAAGCGCTGACCTTGCGGCACAAGCCGGAAAAACTGACGCTGAGGCTGAGACTCTGCATTTGGGAGGTAGTCGGTATGACGACGAACTTTGGCGAATCATGCCTACTTGTGAAGCATTTGGTGAAAATCCCGCCCCATGCCAGCTAGTTCCTAGCCGAACCTTTAATTGCAACCTCAGCCCCACAACTTGAAGCCTTCAATCCACAAAACCTTAAACCGAACTCACAGGTAGTTGTAAGCCGGGCTAGCGGGGCAAAAAGCAGCCTCCGTCAGCATTCTTGTATAGTCATCCTACCTATAATCCTTCTTGAACTGCCCACGAATTTTCAGGTAGACTTCCAACCCAGGTCTACTTCAATCCGAGTACTGGCAAGGTGCCAGCGCCTGCAGAGGGCACAAATGCCACAGCCTTAGTCGGCCAAGCTCACGGTAGAAAATTCTGCGAGGAGGCTAGCATGTTTTGTTTGGCAGCTTGGTACAATCATGCCACCCTGGTTGGAAGTGCAACCTATCATACCTTCAGGTATGGGAACTGCCCCCACATATTTGGGAGGCATGAGCTGAGCAGTTAAACATCTACATTTTGCGCTAACACTCCCTTACACGTGTCAAACTGCTGCTGATCAGTTGAGATGTCAAGGTGCCGAACATCTTTTGCATTGGCGATTTGGTGGAGAACAGGCCTGGTGTGTCAGCAAGCAACCTTGCAGTGGTGGCGGCGGCGATGAGGGTGTAGTAGTAGTAGTAGTAGTAGTAGTAGTAGTAGTAGTAGTCTTCGTCGTCGTCGTCGTCGTCGTCCTCCTCCTCCTCCTATTCGTCGTCGTGGTCGTAGTCGTCGTCTTCTTCACTGATTCTTCGAGTTCTTGGAGTTTTGGGATAGCACGCAGGCACAAAGGGCAGGCAACTGTCAAGGCGCTCTTTACACCACAAGCCTTAGTGACCCCAGTGCAATTCCAACAGGGCCACTATAGAGCTTGATGGGCACTCCGCCATACTTATCTGTCAGCATTATAGCCCCCCTCAAGTAGATAGAATATGGCTTTGGGTATAATCCCCATATACTCCACATTCTATCTACTTAAGGCGGACTATACCCTGAAATGCTGGGATCATCATCCCATGGAGCGTAGGGATCCCCGACCCTAAGCTAAACCCAGCACGGCAGGCCAGAGTTGACTCCTGTGGCCAAGGTTGCCGGAAAGAAGGCGGGTGTTTGCAGTGATCAGGGTTAGGGGTTGTTCTGTGCTATCTGTGGTACTCTTTTTGTTTCAAATCTGAGCTCTGCAATCGGTCTAGTTGTAGAGGGAGAGATTAGGATTCTGGTGCAGTTGGCAGGGGGCAGAAAGCAGATTAACCAAGGGCTCTGTAGCAGTTAGCATGGGCATAAAAGTCTGAGGCTTTAGGTTTGAAATGCCTAGATTTGTGCCTCTAAAGTGGTTGTTATGAGCCGTGATGAAGGGTCTTAACATTTCAGATGTCTGCTGTATAGAAGCGTGACCTGCTAGCGCAGCTTGATTTTTCATAGTTTTAGAAGCAACCAGTCCATGCTATCAGATTATCGCCGTGGCACTTTTTGGTGGTGCTCGTGTGCCTGTTTGATCACGACAGCCTCCTGCTGACAGTTATTTATAGCACATTTTTGTTGAAAGCTCGCCGGAAAGCTGAGCTTCATGCCCCTTATTATGATTCCAACTCTTCTTTCCCCAACACAGTTTTCCTTGTCGCCACGGAGGGTGCAGATCACAACTGAGCCTTACACCCTCAGCCTCCACACCAAAGCGGCCAAACTTCCCCAACACCTATCCTCAACTATGAATCCTTCGTCGCATCAGGTAGTGCATCGGCTCTTCCAGGGAGATCAGGAGGCTGAGCTTGAGGTTTTGTAGTGATTCTAGTAGTGTATGCAATTGTAAAGAAGTACGTGACCCCAAGAGGCCAAATACAGACTACTGAGCCGGGCCTCAGGGCCAGTAGTGACTACTGGCCCTGAGGCCTGGTTGTGTGTGGGGGAATTGCCTAAGACGGGCTGAGGGGGTTTGGGCGGGACGGAGGCGGGACGGAGGCGAGAAGTGATTGCAGACATGGAGGCATGGGGCTTCAGTCGGGTTCGTGACCGTGTGCATGCTTAATGAAATCCTGAGTGGTGCTCGAAAGGCGCAGCACGAATAGCAAAGTAGAGAAGGGGTTCCTCCTGTGCCTTTGCAGGCAATGAATTACCGCCTCATTGCCACAACGGCTTCTCGGCTTATGACCAAAACTTGGCAAAACCCAACCCCAACTCTTTGCCTTTAGCGCAAGTTCACCTGTCTTCTTTGCAGGGCCGAACAGCCAGAGTTGAATCCTAGGCCCTCCTTGGTGTTGAGGTGTTCCGAAGCAGGAGCAAATTCTGCGATATTGAGTTTAGATTCTCTCAGAAATCTTCCTGAGAATTTAGGTGTTCACGCCTCTGGAGTATGGCATGTGCGGCCTCAATGAGGAGCAGTGCATAGAGAAGTGCCCTTTGTGACGGATAGGTGGTAGGTAGGGTTAGTCACCTACATGGCTTATGAACATAGGAGCGCAACTTCTAGCCCTACGTGAAATACTGCTGTGAAGCCTTTGAGCACTTGCAGCAATAGTGCATGGTTCTTAAAGTCATGGATTCCTGCTTCGGGTCTTGGGTCTTGACCGCTAGAGTCACTAGAGTCACTCGGGTGCCTGTGTTGCAGGGGAAACAACCTAGTTACCTGGTTGCCGCACTGGGTTGCCGATGGCGTGACTGACAGATCATGGCGCATGTTTTTCATCTCACCAACTTCAAAAGAATGTTTGCATGAGTTCTCAAACTTAGCTGCCCCAGCTTTTCTGTTTCGGTATGCTGCCAAACACAGCTAGTCCCTCAGATTACACTTTACAGATCAATCAGGGGCTACCAATTTCGGGACATGGCCAAGCCAGCAGCCTTTTTGTCAGGTACGGTGCCGACGGCTACACATCCTACACGAAGGACATCTCTGACAGTCTTGTTCTCACCTTGAACACAGAGGCTCTTGTATTTGCGCTGTTTATATGGAATCCTTATATATGGAATCCTTACACACCCAAATTGAGAACTTTCATGTGTCACTGAAAACCCTCCAAAGGATTGAATCCTAAATCCCAAGCCTGTTCTCCAGGAGGCAAAGCCACTGGAGTGGTCCGTGGTGAAGCACCGAAGCCCAGAGCCTTGCCAAACGGGGCTTACCTGGAACATGAAATTTCGGGTTTGTGGGGGGGGTCCAGCTTTTTTGGGGGCTGGCTTTCTGGGAGTCCCCCCCAAAAAGGCCACTGTAATATGTTAGGATCTTTATGGGGGTTTCTCACAACCAGGGGTACCTTTCCTTGGGTCCCTAGGGTCCCTCGAATAAGGATTATAGCATTCTGGGGTCTATATAAAAGGGTCAGACTATTTGGGGAAACTACCAAATTGAGGGCAGGGTGCTGCTTTCAGGAGGGGTTTTGGGGCATGTTGTGCCAGTGGGCAAGGGGTCTCGGGCTGCTGGCGGATCAGCTGCATCGCGCTTAGGCTTTCTCCAGGGGCTTCCCTAGTTGCTTTTTTTTTAGGGTTTGATGTCTGTAAAAACCCAAGATTCGCTTTGGGCCAGGGAACCCAACGACTAGGCTTAAGGAGTCAGTCGTAGAGGGGTTGAGGTGCACTGTCAATTGTGCAAAGCTTGGGTTTGAAGTCGAGGCTTGTGCTTGAGGCCTTTCTTCAGTGAGCATTGTCTGGAATCTCTGAACAGTGGGCATGTGACAAGCAAGGCCTCATATAACAACCACGTCAACGGTTTCATTCTGAGCGCTTGGGTCCTAACAGTCGCTCCGGGAAAGTGATCCCACCCATTCACCAACGGACTTCAATTTGCAAGCCCATGACTAGCTGTGCAAAAACAGGCAAGTCGATTTTGTTAGGCACCCAGGGGCATCATAGGCCTTGCTTAGCCCTCAGCTGAAACCCAGAAAAGGGACGTGGACTGCTTCTGCGTAGGGTCCACAAGTCCCCTTTCCATCCGTACCTTATCTTTAACCTATTAAAACAGCAAAAACAACAGCTTGGCGAAAGGTTGATGATAGACAGCTCAATTTAGTTGCCTATGACGCGCACCTGCCTTCTTTAAGGATGCTTTCTTCAAGGTCCTCGTGGACAACAAGAGCAGCTGTCTCAGTCCAGCAGCCATAGAGGCCCTTTTCAGGACCTGTCTCAGGTTGTACCGTTGCGACATGGCATACTCTCAGCTTTTCCTTGCCCTGGGAACGGGCGCCTGTCACAGATCGCTTAAAGAAAGCTGCATGTTGCACGACCTGGCCAACACATGTGCACACGTTTCCTTCCCAGTGTCAGTCCTTCGTCGAATGGAGTCAACACAGTTCAGTCGTAGTCGTTGCCTCACAAGTCCTGAGCTATAGCGGCCTCTTCCCCGGATGTTGGCTTCCATGCTCATCCCCAAAGGTTTTAAGCCTTGCACTCTTCGCTGAAACCAAGATCTCTCCAGTCCCCCGGCATGGGCCAGTCCCAGGTACCCGCGTAGTGGGCTTCCATGTCCTCGGACCGAATGCCGGCGGCTGGCCTGGACGATCAATATTTTAAAACGGACCTTGATAACCTAAAGGCACAAGGCAGTGAGATACCTCATCATGTAAACGTGGCGATGCTGTTCTGCCCCTAAATAATGTCTCATGCAGAGATTCAGTGTAAAGTTGCCCTTATCAGCCGCAAAGCTGCACATGATACCGATCGCAGTAGTGCAGCATACACACGCTTTGCGCATAGAGCTATGTGACTGTGTGTTGTTCTCTAATGTATATTCACACACACTCACATATATACACATGCATATATATATACACGCATGCATATGGTTATAGAAGTTCTCCGCCCAATCTGCCTTCAAGCAACTGAGAAGCCGGCTCCAGTTAGAGGTGAGATCACCCAAGCTGTGGGCTTGGCCATGAAGGTTGGAGTCACCAAGGCCAATGCTGAGCTTACTGGGGGTTGGTAGGGAATATTATATGAGCTATAGTCTAACTCCTTAAAGAGGGGTTTTCTTAGGGCAGAACTCCTTAAAGGGGGGTTATATAGGGGATTATATAGGGGACTATTATAGGGCTTATCAAGGGGGAGACTAGGAGTTTAGACTATAGCTCCTCTAGGGTCATGTTTTTTTTACTCCCTACTGACCACCAGTAATTTAGGAAATGGAGGGATGGGTTCCAGTGATGCTGGGGTCAGGCAGATGATGGCTAAGGATCCCTTGGGAGACGTAGTGGCTAATATAGGTTTCATTCCCTACCAGCACCAGGGGTAGATGAAGGTTTCATGTGGGCCGCAGAACACCTATAAGTAGGTTAGGAGCTGTTGCACGTGACGGGTGGGTACTGCAAAGGGTTCTGCCTAGACTGTTTAAATTGAAGCTCCTGCATGAGCTTGATATACTAGCATACCACAATTCCCAAGGTATCATGCCCGTAGGCTTGTGCAGGATTTTGAGTGTCAACCATATGGTCTTTAGGTCAAGTGCAGAGCCTAAGCTGTGCAAGGCTGGTGAGTGTATCTGAAAGATGGGGCATGTGGGTCAGGGCCCTGCTAGGGAGGTGCAAGCAGAATCATGGCGTTTTGATCCCCTCCCCTCCCCACCCCGCCCACCCCCCAACAAACAAAACTCTTGATTTTGACGAGCCATGCGTGACATATCAGTTTTGACTCATTCTGATCAAGCTGACAGACGCAACTGGACGACTGCGTTGGCATCCACCCAACCTTGGCCGAGACCATGACGATGAACCCTGGCTACCATGGGGGTACATCATATAGGGGATTATGTAGGAGTTTTATCGGCTTACAACGTAGAGTTTAGAGTTGTTCTTGCAAAAGTTTGAAGAGGCACACATAATGTTGCCTAAGCCTTGTGCTGGGTGGCTACAGACTTGCAAACTGGCACCCATTTGTTGAGGCTCTCCGGTACGAAGATCGAGGGCGTCGCGTGGCTTGGCTTCAACAGCCAAACGTATGCCCATTGTTGGAGTTTTCTGCATGAGGACCACATCATGCTTAAAATGTCTTGGCGTATGCTGATCTTTGGCTTTGTAGGATGAGCCATGCTTTTCACGGAACAGCCGTCTCATGCCTCCTCAGGCAAGAGCGAGGCGGCTCATGTCATCATGATGCCTTTTCATCCCTTACTCTCGAGACAGCACTGCCACCCAGGTGCGAATCCTGAGTTGCGTAAAGGGCCGCTGGCTGGATGGGAGGCTCGCTGTGTGTGCTGTGTCTACAGTACTGGTACGTCTTTTGGGTGATGGAGGTGGTAACAGTAGTTGTAGCAGGGAGGAGGCGCAGCGGTAGGAGCAGCAGCAGCTGCGACAGCAGCGTTTGTCTATCAACCGCAGTTTGACTTCACGCGTCTGACTTCATGTTGTGAGCAGTGTAGAATTCATACCTATCAAGATATGTCAAGATGCAATCCAGTGGCAGCCCAAGGGACCTCTGAGTCCTTAGCATTAGCAGAGGTCTGCCAGTCCTCCACTATCCAGCGTGCAAAAGACCATTTCCTGGAAGAACTTCAGCAAGTCCGTGGGACCATCGAGTAGGAGGGTTCCCTCTTGCTGGTGGTAAAAACGCAACTCCTGCCATCATTCCCAGGCATTGGCCCTTGTGGGGATTCTTTGTAGTGTAGGTTCATGCGACAATCAGTGGGAGTTAGATACTCCGGACATACCTGACTGCTTTAACAGGGAAGCAACAATGTGAGCATCCATCTTCTACTATCTAAGTCACGGTTCATTGATGGGTGCCTCTATGAAGTCCAGCCAGTAGGTTAGATACCTCCCAGCCGGTCGCGTCCCGCGACATTTCCGTGCCTTGGCTATACTCATGTTGTGGAGTATAGGGATTGTTCTGGCGATGTTTTGCTGCTGGACTCATGATTGCAACAGTTTGGGCAATTCCTTCGTAAACCAACCGGAAAAAGCCCAGGTACCCACCATGACACAGAAATTCAGGGGTTATGCTACGGACAGATGGAGAGGGTTCTCAAAGCCCTGGCCGGGGGATGGGGCACTGGCATACCTGGTAGTCTTCCCAGAACAGGGGGACCCCAATGTAGACCCCAAAATATTCACTTATTATTATGCAGCCCCCCAAAAAAGTACCTCTAATTGTGGGAAAGCCCCACCTGTTGCAAACGCCAAGGCTGATCCTGTTTCTCACAGCACTCGGCAGAATGATGTGCCAGCCCTGCCAATGTGGGCCAGGCTGGAAATCAACGCAGTCCTCAGGATTTCACCCTTGAAGTATCCCAAGTTCCAGGTGAAAAACTGGTCTGCGAAGGAAAACCGATGTGGTAAGGCGATTAGGGAAAGGGGGCTTAATTTCCAGCTGGTTCTCACATGCCCCTATGCATGTGGTGATTGTTTGTTTGCATGAGTATGCCAAAGTGCACTATTCACATGAGGTCATGAGACAGGAGGGAAGAGAAGTCTCCTCCTAAAGTCCAAAAGAAGCTTTCTATGGGGTTTCCTAAAATCAGGGGTACGTTTTTGGGCGAATTCGGCTTCTAGCAGGTGGGGTCTATATTAGGGTTCGCCTTTGTTTGGGGAACTACCATATCTCACAGTTTCCGGAGGTGCCAGCACGGAGAAGCCGAGACGCTACTGAGAGCCGCGTTTGCGTTGAGCTTCTTGTAGGGCACGGTGAGTGGTGGCAGGAGTTGTTTAACCGTCCATCATTGGCTCAGACATGGTAGTTTCCCCAAGATAAGGGACCCCAACATAAAGTCAAATATATTACAGTCCGTATTTTGGGGGCGCCCCATTGAGGCACCCCTAATTTTGGGAAACCCCGCCCCTTGGGTTTGGAAGAATCAGACCGTGCTCCATGCAGCCCATCGCAATCGCATGCCCGAAGGGGAACTTTGCCAAATGGCGCCCTAAACCTTAAACCCTAAACCCTCACCCCTAAACCCCTAAACCCCTGAACCCTAAACCCCTAACCCTAAGCTGCTGCAGTGCTGTCATTTCATGACCAGAAGTCCGACTTTGCAGGGGTCTCCGCCCTCCGCCATGAGAGAGATAGAGGTTAGCGACGTTTCGGGAGACAGTTCACTTCCAAACCCCTTGGCTTTCAAAGTACAACGTGAGATGTGGGTAGTTCCAAAAATTTGGGTCCCATTTTGGTACCCCTAAA